CAATGTAGGGGATCAGACAGTGAAAGGCAATGCTGTACAATTATTGCTTGATGTAGTCAGCTCTTAACACAATTGCAACAACTAAAATCTCGTCCGAATACCCCTCCCATGTTATTTCCGTCATGGTAATCTCGTCCAACCTCTATTTTCACTACTTTTATCGAGTCGTCTTTCGCTCGAGACCTGCAGACTTTCTCGCTTTCTTCACTAGCGATGAACTATTCCCAACCTATACTTCCACTTTTTGAATAAATAAGGGGCTCAAAATTATCGTGAATCGTGCCTTTGATATACCATAACTTGTAACGGCGCCATCTCCCACTCCTCCAGACATTCGCCAGTCTAAAATGCCCAAAATGCCCGTCTCGCAGAATTAACCTGATGCAACAATATCGTTGATTCAGAGAAAGGAGAGGGGAAGGAATATAGAAGGACCAAGGCAGTCATGTCCTATGTATTTTTGAAGTTTATCGCATAAGTCGTGGAGGAATCTGCCAGGTCTGGTTAAACATGGCTAACTCCCTGTAAAACGACTGTTGAGCCTGGGTAAATGCCCTTTTTCGATTATTCACGATTTTTCGAATTTGAATTTTGTGGGTGAAGCATGAAAACTTGGCAATTACTCACAGTAGACGTTCAGACCGTTCAAATGCTATAACAATTTCAAACTGAAATCGACGACATCTCGATAAAAATGATCATCGCCGAGCGTGTTATCGCTTTTCCAGTTGTGATACTAATGATAATGATAATAAGTAGTTACTTGATGTTTTCTATAAGGGTGTTTCTATGCAAAATAAAAATTTACGATGACGTCATACACGTGCATGGGATGGCTTAGTTCCTCCAGAGGATTAGCCAACTAAAAATTACTTGCACGGGTTTTTTATGCTTTAGCTATCTGGATACTTGTTTTGTTCTCTATTACTCTCTTACAGTATGCCAAATGGTCTTTGGTGGATATGGTGTTACACCAAGTGGCGCACCATGGCACACGCATAGTCCAGGGATCGAATCCCAGCTACATATCCACCTAGGCCAACCACGTACGCCATGCCAATGGAGTTGGATAATTGGACTAGCTATCGGACTCGTCTGGTAGGATAGAAGCACTGACTTGTACATCAGCTGACCATCATAATTTATTTCAGAGGCGAAATACTCATTCAGAGGTTACCACAATTTTGAATGGAAGTCGGTTACGTGGCGCATCCCAAAAAAGGAAATTGATCAATATTATAAACTCTATCATATGAGATTTAAGACTACATGTTTTTGAGCTGATGATTTCGAATTCCTTTTCTACTATTCCCTATTAACCTTAAAGTTATCGGCTTTCCACTTCCTGGCCATGAACGTGCAGTAATGGATCGTCCGACTTTGATGTACTGGAGTTCTCGAACTCACGTAAACAAACGAATAAACAACTAACAAGACGGAAAGAACGATAAACAAAGTCTTACGTGATGGAGACAGTGATTCACGAATTCGTGTCGTCTTCTCCTGACAGTAGGTGTTAAGATTTCTAAGAGCGTCAGTAAGGCCATAAACCATTGAGTATCCAGCTAAAACAAAAAGAAAAGCGTCGGTGAACAGTCAGCCAAAGATGACAAATACAATAAGCAAAAATAAAAAATATACGAACATTATGATTCAGTGCAGATGATACTGTTGAACATGGGAAAATCCAGGAAAAAAAAGAAAATATCTGTTGGCTTTTTTTTCTGATTTTGAAGAATTCTTGTACAAAAATACGATCCAGTAGTGCAAATAGGGAGATATTTGCAAGCTGACGGGATAGACGGCTGGGAAATATGTACGGTGAGATGGAGTGGAGTCTGGCGGCGACAGGCAATTAGCCTGAAGAGCTGCTTTGTCCACCTTCTAACTTCTCATCGAAACGTCATTAACAGATCGGACGGAATTCATTCGCTTCACGACGATCACTTTCATCACTCTCGTCGTTCGGGTACTCGCCAAAACATCACGTCATCCAAGTGGGAAAAGCGGTTTCGAAAGAAAGAAATTCGGAAAAAAAATGGGTAGGGAGGGGAACGGAATGAATTCAATTGAGCCACTTTTCTTTTTTTTCTCTCGCTTTTGTTCTAAGCTTTCGTGTACTTCTTGACCCTTTTAGAGTTCATGGAAGTCCGAAGACGTTATACTATGAAAGAAGGATTACTTACCTTAAGAGCCTAATGAGAGCAGTTTCCTGTCATTTCCTGGGGAACACCGTAATTGCGCGCCAGCTTCCTCCTTCAGAAAGCTTCCTGTGGGAACAAAGTTACAGCATTCCAGCTCAGTCCTCCTCCTGCTGCCTTTCCTGCAGCAATCTACCTCACGAGGAAGTTCTACCTATCTCATTCACCCATAGATTTCCCTCATTACGAGGGAAGAGGTCTATCTTACACCGTTTCCTCGATAAAAGGATCTCCAGAAACCTGGTAAGGTAAAAGTCATAGGAACAAACACGCCGGTACATGCCCACCCTAAAGTATGTTATCATGGAAAGGGATACACCCCAAAATACTTTGTAATCTCGAGTGGAGCCTGAATGCATGACGTATACTGAAGGCATCCGCAGATGGGCTTTATCCATAAGGCTTTTTATAGAAATTAATAAAAAAATTATAACGTAAGATAACGGACACGGATAATAAATGGGAAATATACAAACAATCAACGTACCCTTAAGATCTAAGGGATGAAAGAAAGCCAAATTTGGTCGCTTCATAAACCACAAGAGAACTCGATCTGGAAAATGATTTTGGAAGTTTTTTTTTTCTCAAAAAGGAAAAATCAGATCTGAGGAAATTCTCAATTGCGTCTATTACCTAATACCTATTGTAAACACAAAAATTCCGTACTTCTAAGTATTTGTAGAAAAAATTCAAAAAAATCCACAATTTTCCATAGGAATTTTATTGGTTTACAACACTCAGTTGAGTGTATATATAAATAAATAAATTTTGAAAATGTTCATCCCCTTGAAATTGATACCAACTTGGAAAAAATAGTTAAGGCAAGAACTGGTATGAAATAATTACAATAAAAGGGCACATACCACTAGATTTGAGGATCGATTATCTCGCCCGACAGAAGAAGGAAGAAAGGCGAAGATGGTCGTAGTCTCCATCGAACAGTACCGATTGATAGAGATCAAATTTGATCCACGAAAATTACTGTAATGGTATTCTAATCACCAGAACCCACTACTTTTTGGAATTTACAGATTTTTCATAGACTTTATAGATTTTGTGAGTATTCTAAGAATTTTCTCAGGGATCAGCTCGATTTTTATAGATTTGCCGTTGATCCACTAAAAGTCAGTACGATTTACTTCTTCCTGGTACTTCCTAGTCTCCTTCCAGTATCCTTCTCTCTAGTCCCCTTCCATGAACCACTGCATATTTGCTGCTAATTGTGGTTTATATCTCCACGGTCGGGCTTCCATAAACGTTGTTCTAAAAAGTTATCATGTAGTTTATATCTCGAAATCCCGCGAGACGTTCGACGATCGCTTTCTTCAAAGCCTGAAATGGATAGAAATTCACTCACGAATATTAATAAAAGTGAATTCAAGCGTACCCCAGTAATAGTGTCCTTCCAAACCCCAACCCCTTTTCTCACCCAAAGCACTCCCTGGATTTCGAGAAAGGCCATTGACCGTAGCTTCATGAATGGAATGTACCTACAATTCAGTTTAAAAGGATAAAGTGTAGAGTTTTCGGCGTTAATCAATCTCGTCTGAGGGATGCGCCCCGCACTCGACTTCTATTCAGAATCGTGGTATCGTAATGTGTGCGTATGTGGCCTATACAATGACTTGCTGTGGCCAGCCGATGCACAAGTCAGTGCTTTTATCCTCCCAGACGAGTCTGGTAATAATTAACCGACCCCGGAGGGATGGAAGGCTTGGTTGGCCTAGGCGGGCATCTATCCGGGATTCGAACCCCTGACCGTGCGTGTGAGATAGCGCGCCACTTACCACTACACCACCTCCGCCCATCCTAAATTATAGAGGTAGTAAAGCAAACTTTTTCATTTTCAGCAGCATTTCTGTGAAATTCGCCATATACCATTCGTAATTGCAGTTTCATGTGCCCCACGGAGCTCCTTGAATGCTTAGACGGCCAGTTTGTTGATATCACACCAAATACAGCTCCAGACTCCGACAGACTTATCGACCATTGTTCGAATTCTTGGATTGCCCATTATCTGTACTCAATAATTGCACGACTCACGACTGATTTGGCCCACTTGGGCAGCAAACTAGGCCCTTGACCATGAAGGCTTGCTCACAGCCGTTTTCAACTTCGGTTCATCAAGGAGCTTAGAAACACCAACGTTTCACCTCAAGTAGATTAGCTCAAACTGATTTAGACGATGTCAGCGTCACTACCTACGAATTAGCCAGTGTAGCACCGCATGAAAACACGGAAATTCATCCTTCCAGTTAACTCAAACAAGTAGCCAAGCCTGAACGCTAATGCCGAAAATCCTTGAAGGGCAAGCCAATAAGCGGAGACGTTCGACTACTGTCAAGTTCTTATTAATCAATCCACAACTACAACGGTACACCTTCATTCCCTCATCCGAAAGAATAAATTAGCAATGGAAAGGAGAAAACCGTGTCAATCAGATTAGATGTTTGCTTCAACTGACAAGCTGTGACAGCACAAATACTTCTGTGAATAGTGAGTAGCAAATTAGTTAATTAATGAAACAACAAAATAACAACAATAATATGTTCAGAGACCATGAGGAATTTCGTAGAACACAGATCACACAACGACAATGGAGAAAACCAACAGTGAAATTAGTTGTCAAAATGATGTCGGTGAACGATATCAAATCCATTTCATCAGTACGGCTTATGCCTGTCTCCTCCAAATCCTCCCCGACCGCCTCGCATTGCACCACCGCTTCCGCCACCTGGGGGACCTCCTCCACCTGCGCCTCCGCCTCTTGGTGCACCACATTGATTACAAGCCTGAATTGCTCACTTTCTCATCTCACCAGAAACAAAGTGAGTACTACTTGGATTCATTCATTTCACTCTCAATAGATGAAAAATCACCTGTCGGAAGGCAAAGTTATTGTTTCCACACGCTTCGCATGGCCAATCATTGCTGCGTTGCTCCATGTTAGCATTACCTGCGCCGCGATTGAAACCACCTCGACCACGTCCTCCTAAATCAGTTTATCCCTCTGGTCGTTCTTACTACTCCCATAATACAGAATTCCTAATACTAAGTTCATCTGATTAGTTACAAAAGAAACACACCTGAATCTCCACGGAAACCACCGCCTCCTCCGCGGCCACCGAATCCTCCATCTGCAATGATAAAGAGTAATTTTTTGACATAGCTACCAATCTGGGAAGAACTCACCAAAGCCACCTCTTCCTCCTCTTCCACCACCACGGAAGCCACCGCCTCCAGCGCCTCCTCCTCGTGCTGACTGATCCATTGGTTTGAATTTAGCGATTGAAATTGTCATCGGACGATCACCACCAGGGAATGGCTGGCCGTTATACATTTCAATACAGCGCTGGGCAATCTCAGCAGAAGCAAAAGTGATCATGCATTCTCCCTGAAACGGATTATGTTTATAGAAGTAATCGACTGCTCAATCAAGCGACGCACTTTTGGTTCTCCCGTGCCTCGGTCAGTGTAGATTTTTATTCTTGGAGCTCCAGTCCTGTCATTTTTGGCAATGTCTCCGACAGTATTGAACACATCGGCTATATATGTTTCATTTGCTCTGAAACAATGCCATATGTATTGCAACTCAACTCAACTGCAACTCTATAACAATAAAATCCCCCCCCCCTCCCCTACACCTTCGAAAAACCGAGAAAACCTACGTGACTGGTACTCCCTGAACGAATACAGTTTCTTTCAATTCGATTCGATCATCCTGACGTCCAAAATCGCCACCTCCTCCTCCTCCTCCTCTATCGCCGCCGAAGCCACCACGGCCTCCACGGTCTGAACACGAAGCATTCATATTAAAAGGAAACAGAACGGTTTTATTCTAGAAATACCAAAACGGATGATGTGGATTTGTGAACTTGAAATACATAATATCACATACGCTTATGCTTAGGAAGAGCTCTAAAGAGCTGAGCTGGACATTTGGTGCTTTTCTATGCGCTTGCGAGCTATATCATCATGTTCACGTTCGTCAAGATTACTCTTCACATTTGTTTCTATTGAAAATAAACTTGAAAATAATCATTTGTTGAAAAGCACATTTTCATATGACCACTTTCATTTTAACCACTTTCACTTTCACCTTTACAGATGAAATTACAGCCACACTATTTTGCTTGAAAGCTCTCATTCGCTTTCGTTACCAACAAACACATGACATTTGGCAATAACCTCTAACTTTTAATTTTGCAAAGAATACATGTTTAAAAATGAATGCATCTATCAAGTCCACAAATGCGCATCATCCGAAAAGGTCGTAATAAGTGACTATATTTATTTGTATTTATATATTACGATGAATCATTTTTCATTTCGCCAACCCCCGTCAATCGAAGCAAGTCCTGCTTTTATGAATACATGACACCTTGTAATATTCAAGAGCACACTTCAACACCATTTTTTTGCTGAGACCATGACACTATGGAACTTTCCTAAGAATTTTCTATACTGGAACTACTTTTTGCCCTAATTTTACACTCCAGATGCTACGTCGTACGGACATATTTCACATTTTCATTGAATTTGAATCATTCATTTTGAATAAAAGTACATTAATAACACTTATTTCGATGAGTATACCTTGAAAACCTCCTCTTCCACCGGGACCTCCCGGCCTGAAACACAACGAGATTATCTAGGGCTACAAACGCAATCCAAGCGAGACCGTGAAGTCCACATTTGGTTGCGCTGCACCCTAGACATTGCAAAGCCACTTCCACCAACGATTATCTCAATAAATTGTTCAAATCTATGGCGGAAATCGAATTGCAATTTCCATAGAGGAGACGCGCAGAATCTTCACACTCGATTTTCAATTCGTGACTTCTATTTTCGAGTTTACGGTGCTGGTGTTGAGCTGCAATCAGCCCATCCTGGAACTCTAAATCATACTCGTTTACCTTATCCCCTTAGGGATTTCAACAACAATTTATACACGATCATCATTGCGAGATTGATCCGGCACAAAGTAAGATGGGTCGTAGAAATGACACACAAAAACCTTGTGAAACAACAGCGTTTCTTTTTCGACCCGCTATACTTGAATTGCCCGACCACACACAGATGAACTTGCAAAACGGAAAACCGTCACCTTTACTTTGTCCAGAACAACTTACCAGTACACCATTTCACCAAACACCGTAACTCATAATAACCGACTGCAATGAGTGCCCAGTTGGGCTGCACACTTAAACTCTATAACATTAGTTTTAGCCGTGAACAATGTCTCACATCACCGCATGGGCTTGGCACGTTGCCATTTTCTCTATGAAACCGATCATGAAATTTCACACGATGAGATTTTCGTTGCAAACATGAAATGCGAACTCGGGCAGGAATCTACTTGAGACACTGCTTCTTCAACACAAACTGGACAATTGGACATTACTATTCGAAACTAAAAATAATTCAAAGTTCTTACCCGCCACGGAATCCTCCTCGGCCACCGCCTCCTCCTCGACCGCCATCATCCCAGCGACTTGGTCCACGACGGTCACCTCCACCACCACCTCCAAATCCGCCGCCGCCACCTCGGCCACCGCCGAATCCACCACCGCCTGGAAAATGGCGTATGGCAACAAAACCGAAACGCAAAGCCTGCATATCACAGACTCTAAGAATATGCAGCAAAAAGCTCACCTCTTCCTCCAAAGTCGCCACGTCCACCACGGCCACCTCTGAATCCTCCTCTTCCTCCATCGAATCCTCCGTCACCGCCGTAACCACCACGACCGCCTCCACGTCCACCATCAAATCCACCGCGGCCACCATCGAATCCACCACGGCCACCATCAAATCCACCGCGGCCACCATCGAATCCACCGCGACCGCCATCAAATCCACCGCGGCCACCATCGAATCCGCCACGACCACCACCTCGTCCGCCATCGAAACCGCCACGGCCACCGTCATATCCGCCTCGGCCTCCATCGAATCCACCACGGCCGCCATCAAATCCACCACGTCCTCCACCATAGCCTCCACCTCGGCCACCATCATATCCACCACGACCACCATCGTATCCTCCACGTCCGCCACCATAGCCACCTCGAGTGCTGAACGTCTCAGGACCGCCGCCACGACCTACGCCCATGGCGCCCATGGGGGGAGCTGAATTATTTACTTTTAGCTTGTGATTGCTAGATTGTTAATATGTTACTACAACCTTTACTTGGGTCTTGGATAGGTGGCTGTTGTGCATGTTGTTGTGCATTGGCACCATTAGCGTAATAGCCGCTATACTGAAATTATATTCGTCAAATTTATTACAAAGGAAATCCAGAGAAGATTTTCTAATAAGAATAACATACATCAGTTGGAGCAGGGGCAGCTGGTGCTGCATTTGCAGTTTGGTCCTGAGCTGGTGGAGCACCGGGAGCAGTCGGAACAGTCTGCCCTAAGGATGCATAGTACTGAGCCCATGCAGCTTCATATTCTTTCAAAGCCTAAAATTGTAAGAATAAAAATTTTCTAAAGATAACTGCAAAGATTCAGTATAATGGAAGCAGCGGAAACTTTACGTACTTGTGGATCTGCTTGGGCATAAGCGTCACCTCCTGCAGCAGCATTTGGGTCTGCGTAAGAGCCATTATAAGCTAAATCAAGCGATTAAGTTGAACGAAAAAGCTTTATATAGTAGTATACTTGGAGAAAAGCTACGTACCCATTTAAAAGCCACTGCTAGTACAAACTAGAAGATGTTACCTCCTAAAATGCAAAAAACAAGTTATTTAACGAGAAAAACACAACCACACGTAACAGATAAGAAGATATATCATAAGGATGAAACGTTAAAGGACAAGGAGGACTCCTAAAAAGGAAAAGGCCACTTGGANCGAAAAAGCTTTATATAGTAGTATACTTGGAGAAAAGCTACGTACCCATTTAAAAGCCACTGCTAGTACAAACTAGAAGATGTTACCTCCTAAAAGCAAAAAACAAGTTATTTAACGAGAAAAACACAACCACACGTAACAGTTAAGAAGATATATCATAAGGATGAAACGTTAAAAGACAAGGAGGACTCCTAAAAAGGAAAAGGCCACTTGGAAGGAAAGAAAAAGGGCGTCTGAGCCCGATGCGCGCCGTGGGTCGATACGCAGACGATGCGCGGCGTGGCGCGTTCCACGTAGGACCACCCTCGTGGCGTATGACAAGCCGAAACGGAGGAAAAGCGGATTATCGGCTTTATATCGATCGGGGGTTCTTATCGACCCGCAGAGGGAAGGAGGTTACTCACCCATGAAAGGATTAGCTAATTACTGGAACTCTTTCGTAGCATTGGTTCAAGATGTGGGAAATGATAGTTGGAGGTGGGCGGCCAGATCGGGTCAAGGTCATCGATATCGATTGCGAATGAACTGTTGTTGATAACGGGAGCCTATGTATCAGAGGTTTCCGGGCCTTAAAGGTCATCGTTTGAACAACAACTGGCAGTAATCTTTTGAAGGATCGAAAAGCAAATTTAGTTGTAAAATATAAATATTGGAGTGAATAAAGTGGATCCAAGTAGAACATGCTATTTTTAAGATGAGTTTGCTTATTATAAACTTTATTACCCTTCTGGATAAGGGGCTTTGTAGAGGGTATGACAAGCATGAAGTGGAAAAAACTCGAGTTTCAGAGCCTAATAGAGGCGGAGGACAAGGTTACTATGAGGTGTAACTGCTTCTGTAGCATTGTAGCATTACATTTTCGAGTAAGAATACTGTGAAACTATGTCCTAAGTAGGATAAGCTAGTAAAACATTAATCTGGTCAGATTTAATAATAATAATAAGTTAAAGGAACGAAAACTTCGTACGGAGTCCTGTTTCCATAGTGATCATTCGATGAACGTAGAATTTCACGGACCAAACATTTCATTCCACGGCATAAATTTATTTCAGTACACAAACCCTTAACCATCCCACAGCCACGTATAAGCCGCACAGAAAAGCGTGATAAGAATGGACGGTAGCGGTGGGCCGCAACACATGCGTTCCAGTCCGGACCTACCGGTGGGGTACTGTGGTAGCCGGGTTCCTGAACTGAACGTCAGCTCTTTCTTCAACGTAACATCGGTAAATATCAAAAGGATTCGCCGCAGATATACTGTCTATATACTCCGGTGGTTTGCTCATCATGGATGTTATTTGGACATAATCCTCTTGTTCTGAACGGAGTGCTAACCCGTTGGAGGATGCGCCGCACATCCGACTTTTGCCTAAAACAAAGCATTTGAATATCTTCGCAGTCTACCGATTCCTTGGTCTAGATGGTAGTGAGAGGCGGCTCAGGGAATTTGGAGTATCAGATACAACATTCAATATCGTGGATATACTTTTGGTATGGTAGTTAAGTCATTTGGCTTCATTCCCTGCATACCCACTTGATTATTTATGTGGCAGCGGACATCAGTCTTTCCATTGGATATGGTCATTTGTTCAATTGGACGGCAACTGAACGTTTCGGTCTTCAATTTCTAATCCACCTGTACCACATAATTACATTTCAGACTAGCTTGCTTGGCCTCCCAGTAGGAACGTCTAAGAGCGATAAAGCATCGCCCTTACTTATCACTACAATTGAACTGCCCCATTAAGGACAAATGCTTCCTTTTTTATTTGAGCTTTTAGTTGGTTTGAGAGAAGTGGTAAATGGTGTATTTGTTTCGATTACGAAAGTTCAACGATGAAAAGATGGCAGTAGTAGTGGGCGGAGCTTTCCGATGAAGGCGGGCCTGCTGTAGCGCGCGTTAAGCGCCGAGTCGACCATACTATGAACTTACTATTACACCTCGCTAGTATTGAACGTAAACAAATCCAGAAAAAGCTTCACATCTACGAAGATGACCAAATGATGCTCAACGTGGACAAGGGATGACAACTATATAGTGATTGGTAAATTCGCTGATTACTCTATGTCTCAACCTACCAAATGCTTCTAAATACGTGTAAAGGATACAAATACGTGGCGATTTTCAAAATACAAATATCTTTATTGATAGAAGAGAGTAAGAGATGGATTAACGAGCAAGAAATGCTATTCCGTTGGAATAGAAAAGGCATGATTAGTCAGATGGACACTGCTTTCACTTGGCAAAATGCCAGATCTGATAGGATACGACAACTAACTAAGACTTGCACGATAAGCTAGTTTTAACCCGATGACAACGGGACAAAATAATTGATAAGTTTTCGACTGAACCTCTTTATTTACAACAATTAAATTATTAAATGCTAACGACAGAATCCTTAACAACTGGTTATTTACTTGTTTACTATTCCAAATTCGAGAATCATCAATGAATCCACAGAAACTCGTTATTTTCGTCTCCCGACAAATTCTCCTTATATCCCTCTTTGGAAGTGACGGCGGAATCCGCTTCCTTCGGAGGTGCTCCACCGCCTGCTCCAGCTCCTCCTTCACAATGAGCACAAGAACCTGGTAATCCGGGCTCACCCTTTGGACCTTGGGGACCTGGCAAGCCAGGATTACCGGGATCGCCTCTTGTTCCAACAGCACCACGAATTCCTTGGTTACCCATTTGACCAGGTTTTCCGTCCATACCTTTACTTCCTGGAGGTCCACGTGGTCCAACCTGAATTGTCAGTTGAATAAAATACGGTAGACGCATTGAAGAGATTCCAATTAAGCTGTACCTTTCCTGGAGGACCAGGAGGACCAGGAGGTGCACCATTTAGAACCTTGCCACGATCTCCCGTTGGTCCTTTTGGTCCTGGTGGTCCAGGTTCGCCACGAATACCTCCTGGTCCTGGGGGTCCGGGTCGATTATCCTCACCCATACGACCAGGTGTGCCGGGTCTGCCAGGGTTACCACGAGGACCTGAAATTGAATTCCGATAAAAACGAAAGTTACCCAATCATTTGGTTCGAAACTCTGAACAGCTATACTTATGTAGGAGAGTACTCCGTAAAAATGAACCAGGAGCACCTTTTGGTCCAGGCATTCCTGGCGGTCCCGGTGGCCCAGGAGGACATTTCTGGCAAGCGTTGGTGCCAGGAGGTGGGGCAGGTAGGTACTTGCCATTCCTTCCATTGGGGCCATTTCTTCCAGGGAATCCATCCACACCTGAGATAAAAGACTTTTAAAGGTCGACGTCAGTTCGGCATAGTTCTGAAGCAGACTACTGGGTTAGCAAGGTCTA